AGCAGGTTCGGGTCTATATATATATACGAAGGCTGTCATCGCTATTTGAAATTACCATTTCTTCGAGAACGTTGTCCTCCTATGAAAAGGTTGGCGCTTTAAAAATGTCTCGGCACACTTACACCTTGGAGCGAACGATTCGTTTATCTATTAATGTTGTACCTGGATTCAACTTGATGATGACTAACGTACCGAGCACAAGTAGATGGGTAAAGGTATCTATCTGACCACTATCCGTTTTATAGGTCTAACCGCGGCGAGGCGTCAAGGTTCTATCTTGACCTGTGTTATAACGATACAAGTGGGTTACTACAAAATAGCTCGCTGTTCTGAGTGCAACGCTTCGACGTGCTTTTTCTCACCTAAGACCATGATATTTTGAACTAAGTTAACTTCAGTTAAGTTGAGAGCTTACTTTTTTACTTTTTGGTCGAATATGGAACCATGTCATGTCGTACACTTGCGAGCTTCCATAGTTCGAATAAAGCCTTTATTGTTCAGTTGCTTCTGTCGTCTTATCACTTTAGTAAGTGGATTTTGTATGCAAAAGTTAGTTACTATCTACATTTGCATACTGAATCTGAACTTTTTGAATTCTATATAGAATAATAGAAGTCAGAGAACAGTGTTTAATCTATGTAGTTACTAGTCGTTTTCTTTTGACCGTTTATTCTTGGCTATAATTCGAGCCAAGTGACTCTATCTAACCCCGAGCTGCTGGAACGTGGGCAGGTCGAGGAAGTTATCAGAATCGATGCTTTCTGTATTGCTTGCGCTCTACGTTTAAGGACCGATCACGTGTTTCGCCGCTAACTCGACAGATTCAATTTCACAAGCGAATGCGTTCGGAACCATCAGACAAACGCTCCCTGCGACAACACGCACCCGTCTGTCAAGCGATAGGGTGACAACCGAATACAAAGGTTCATTTCAACATGGAACTAGACAATCAATACGACAACAATAATAACAGGCATCAGTAGCCGAGCTTGTTACTCACTAATTTTATTCTACGATGAAGCTACATATTAGCCACTTTGTGCTTGAATGAAAAAATTCAGCCAAGACCTCACTTGAAACGTGTGCAGCTTTACTTTCTACAAGTTGTATCATATACTAACAACCTCAAATAATTCCAACATCGCTAAACATTCAGCAAAAAATGACCGTTGGAACATTGTGTTAATGTACGATTGCTATCATAATATGTGAAAGCTCATAGTATTTTTGTATATAAAGAAATTCGTTTTAGCAGTTCTTTATTAAGGAGCGCAGCAAAGTATGGTGCTATTTTACATTGGCCGCCTATCGGTGCCTTCGATCGTGGGCTTTTCACCACACTGTGGCCATCAGTAGCCCGAAAAACTACCATGCTCTTTGATACGCTTAGTAACCAACACTTAAGTAATTAATAGGTAATAAGTTTTGATCCGGTAATTGTCCAGGCTGCTTGATAGATGTCGAAAATTAATTTAAAATTTTTTCTTAATGTCGTCGTCATTATTGGTATCGTCGCCGTCGTCATCATCACCATCATCATCATCATTGTCGTCGTCGTCGTCGTCGTCGGTTGATGTGCGACGTGTGCACGATCAGCAACTGTGCTTAAGCGGCGTGTCACTAAGGCGAGAAAGATTTAGTCGCACGGGGTATACATTCGCAGTGGTGGGGTTACTTCACTTCGTGATCAACTTCTCAGCACATAAGCTACCACGTATGAGCTAGTACTGGTTTGCTATCCTTCTTTATGCGTCCACACTTTCGGTCCGTAAAATTTTCCCGTTGAATTGTACCTCGTTTGCTGGTTCATTTCGTGTCTGACGGCCTTCGTTGTCGGCCGCTCCCTGCTTATTTCACTTCAGTCTTGGCTCAAATGTGATTACTGAGTCCTCGGTTCACCTTCATCCCCATTACACTCTGCCGTCCACTAGGGGCGTGGGCGTCCACTGTTGGGGGTGGACTGCCAGCATTAGGGGCAACAACATCGGCAGAAGCAAACCGGTAATAGTCAATAAAAGTAAAGTACTTTATCCTCAGTGCTTCTTCGTTTGCTACTTCACTGCGAGAACAGTCTCCGCTACCGTCGCCGCTGTTTTGCACCTTCAGAAGCAGTGCTACGATCGTCGATGGCGTCGTGCGCCACCGTAGCAGCAGAAGCTACCTCAGGAGAGGTTAAAGTCATCATCTTTCCCAGGCTCGTCTCGGCAGCACGTGACGCTTGTTCTTTTCTTTCCACTTTTTGCTCATCATTATTATTATTATCATCATCTTGGTTGTTGCCACTTTTTGCTACGTCGCTCCGTCTTCACTTTAGTCAACTACTCTGCCTCGTTTGCTTTCGATGATGCTGCTGGTCATGATGGCGATAATGTTCCCTGTTATTCGCAATTTATTGTTGTCGTTGTTGCTGTTGTTGTTCGATTCTCTCGTCGAGTCGCTCTCATCTCGTCGTTGACTCCTTCGGCTTAATTTTGTTCTGCTTTTCGGCGATATTTTTCTTCTTTCCTACTTCTGCTCTGTTCTTATTCCTGGCTCTCGCTATCGCCCCGGCTGCTACCGCTGCCGGCACTTCACTTCTACTGCTGCTATATTCGGTTACTTGTTTCACTATCCCCGCGCTGCGGTCCAGCCGTCCGAGTTTGCGGCCTGCATCTAGCCAGAGCTGTTGGCCGTTTTTGCCCCAGGTGTGGTAAAGAGCCATCGTTTTGCTACAACTGCGTCTGCTGCTATGTCTTGTTTTGTTCTGCTTCTTGTTGTCGCGTATTGACGCCGGCCTACGTTACTTTTTTTTACTTTAGCTCTGAGCTTTAGGACTGCGAAAAGACCATTGCGTTGAGCTTGTCAAGTCAGCGAAAGGCGGCCGGCTAGCTAGAACGGGGAAGATACCGGAGAGAGCGGCGGGAGGAGGGGGTACGAAAAGTCAGAAATGATTTGGCAACGTGACTTGGTAACACTAACAGGTGTTGCTGCCATTGTTGTCGTTGTTGTTGTTAGCGAGCGCTGCTGTCCTTGTTAGATCATGTTGTTCATCTATTTTATATAGCGGTATGCTGGTACAGCGTTCGCGGATGAAAACCGTACGGTACATTGTAGACATCGAAGGAAGCCTGTGCACCATCACATCGATGTTGACGTCCGCATTGAATCTACTGTGTTTACCAGACAGACAAACAGACACAAACGAGAAAGCGAAGAGGACTCAGATCGCCTCGATGCTGCCGTCTTGTTGGTGAGATGTTGGAAAAGAACGACGAAAGCTCTGCAGAACTCGCGTCAGAGGCCAGCCACTCCCGTAACCGCCCCCTCCGCCTTCTTCAAAGCGTCCATCGGTGGTAATTGCCAACAAGAAAGGACGATGTACGCGGGTGACAGCGTGCTAGACGAAACGGTTATACGATGGCGCGGTGATCTATACATGTTTTACCCCCAACCCTGTATCTACTCTCAGGCGTTTAGCTGCTGTGCGCGAGTCCAGCCGTTGAGTGTTGACGGCAAAGCAATCGGCTGATCGAGCTTGATCGAGCAAAAAACAGATCGAAACAGGTGGCCGCTTCTTGACGTTGGTCGGAGTGTAATGCGAGGAGCGCTACCTTGGTTCTAAGAGGAAAAGTTATTATCACTATGTTTGCCTAGATACCATATGTTTCTGTCTTAAGAGATAAGTTGTTTACGCAGCTAGCGATGGATGTTGCACCGGGATGGCAATCCCGATGAGCAGTGATCATACGAAGTAGTAGTAAAAATAGATTTTGTAATGCCTATTTAAGACACAGCTTGTGGGTTTCAGCTGATAAACAATTTGCTCAGATGGATCGGATAGTTATGTCGCACCCATCGAAGGAGTTTATTGTACCATTATTTGATCGTCCGGGCTCTATTAAGGCAGTATAACGGTTTTAAAGTCTGACAACTTTGGATCTTCTTTCTCGCGTTCGTTCTCTTCTCGAAGATGCTTCTTCCGGTCGATAACAAAGTCGATTTCATGTTTACTATTCTCTCTGGATATTTTTTTGTATATCAGTTCGATGCAATCTTTTGATGCACACGGTCGTCCCCAGTCTAATCAAAGACTTGTGGTACAGTCCGAATTTACGTCAAGCGTTATATGCATTTGTGTCTAATAAAGTGACGTTTTCTTATAATCTTTTTATGCCACGCTGATATTAATGCCCGACTATGGGATAAACTGGTTAGCGCTTATCAACAGAGATGAAAGATTACGTGAGCATCTGTGCCTATAGGATACAGCGCCGTTCTTATATATCATCGTAGATTTCTGTATGTATAGTAAAATAGTGCTTCGGTGAACGGAACAATGTTTACGTTCGTAATAGATGATGAATCTATAGACAAAAATGGCTAGTGCCACAGCCATAACGATGCTCAGGCATTGTTGACTGTTTAGGTTACGTTGCTTTAATCTGACCTTGGCGGCGCTAAATGTGAACATCTCCAGCTTCCGGCCGTCCTATTGAATATAACGGTCGATCTGTATGATACATTACCTAGCAAGCCTGTAATGCCCGCTTATCGTATAAAGGTCAACTTGATGATAAGTTTGACACCATTTTCATGCAAGTGTCGTTGACCTGCTGTAAGCACAATTAAAGCCAAAGTGATTTCCGCCTATTTAGGCCAGAAAAAGTTAACTTTTTTATGGCGCTAAATTTCAATTTGAAAATGTTTCTATACAAGTGCGGGATGACTAATTTAATAAGCAACGGGTGTCACTGATATTATCTGCAATATTGATCGGTCACGAGCATTGTGTCTCGTTCTATATGTGGATAAGCCTGTACAATGATCTCGCTGCTGAAGTTACCGCTTGCTACCGGATACTAGTTTTCTTTTTGCCTACTTGACTCAGATATCTCATGACTTATGACGTTGTTATTATTAGGCCGATAACTATAGTGCTAATTAACGTCGGTACTTCAGTGACGATTTGCTTTGCTTATTTCTTTAATTAATTAAACTTTCTATTACTGCTGATCTCTTACCTTGAGTCCGTACTTGTAGGTTTGATGATATCCTTGCTTGTCGATATGGCGATGATGGCCACAAAATCCAAGACTCCGTGGGGCCCCGCTTTATCATTTTTCTTCCACCTCACTCACGCACCCATTCGTACGGCCAGCCTGCCTAGAGTATTTTCCAACTCCTAAGGCATTGGCCTATCTTATTGGCTTTGACGGTTCTAAGGGATGACTAGCAGTAGAAATCATACTGCGAATAATAAATATTATTGCTGGTTGAGGCGACAATTGGCCCTAACGACTCGAGCTAGCAAGCATGCGAATATGCCCATGATTGGCCTGAAGAAAAAGTGTTACTATTTCCTGTACGGTTAGCTGGTTTATGTATCATTTTATTTGGCGATTATTAGTAGGAAAGCATAACAATGTGGTAACATTTCGGTGAAAGCCGTCACAATAGAGGGTTCATAAAAACTCTACCTTTCAGATTTATGATGGAAACATTATTGATCAGAGGCCGGACACCTGTGGGTTATCCGCAAAAGCGGCCTTTTTTGGACGAGTTATATCAAATCATTAAACACAGCGAAACTTCGATTATCGATTTCCATCTTTCTCTGTTGGCGACCTGTGTGGACAGCTTTTGGTTGGAATTGAGCAGAAAATGCGCGTCAGAGATATATAGAGACTAAGAAAATTACCTGAATTTTCTTCAGCGTTCACTAAATGACTTTTTGAATAATGAGTCTTTCAGGATAGACGCCTCACTGTACGTTCCTTCCCTAGGCTCACATAGTATTAGGTCGAACTTATCTATGCAGTCTAAGTTAACCGATATTGGCTTTCTCTTGGAATTAGCGCATATCATTATTTTTTGTTTGCCTCACGTATCGTACCCTTCAATAAATCTATTTGTAAAATTAAATAGAAAAGAATTGCGACTTGTATTGGTTTTTTTGAATAAAAGAGTCTGCGGCTTATTACAACTACTGCTGCTTCAGTTGTTGTTGTCGTCATCGTCGTCGTCGTCGTCGTCGTCGTCGTCGTTGGTCTGGCTTCTATTGACTCTACCTTTTGTTTATTTGCACCAATGTGTCAAGCTTACAGCCTCTGCCACGTCTATTCTCGGACTCCGATCTCTTTTCTCTAATCAAGACGATTCTCTTAGTTTTCTTTTTCTTCCATAGTTTCTCCTGTTTTCCGATCCGGTGCGCGGTCAAAGAAGATTTATCATCGGGAGCGTAGACATAGGGACAAAGCAGGGAGAGAGACCTGTATTCGTTCCCACTACGACAGTTGCGCGACAACCTCTCAGCAGTGGGTCGTGGCCCCCAGTCACAGCCCCGGACACATACTACCGTTAGTACAGCTGAGCTGACTGTTACAAAGCACGCACCATACACAAACGGTAGTTTTAAGGAAAGAACAAAAAGGAGGGATTCGCTCGCAATTGGCTCGCGTCTCTGGTGCAGGCGACAAGTCGCTTAAGTCGAATGAACAATAAACGCCCTCTCGGTTTGTCGACCGTTGGTTGTGGTTTAGCTTTGGGGCGATCGGGCTCGTGTCATCGTCCAGGCCGTGATGATGAGTAGTGGCGGCAGGATCGCGTGGCCACCGCTTAACTCCAATGTTCAGAGATAGATAGATAGAAAGCGGGTTTTGTATTATGTGTCGGCTGTAAAATGCGAGATAGAAAACAGCTGTGGCCTGTGGGATTTACAGTCAATTATCAAGCCTACCTACTCGAAGAATAAAGGTTCAATATGTGAACAATAATTACATAATAAACAAGGGTAAAACGTTGGGTCGAATCAGCAAAACGTCAGCACATACGGTCGTTAAAAATGGCTTAATATAAATTAAAGAAATAGAAATCACCAAGGCGATGAGCTCTCCCATGTTACTCTACTTTAAGGTGACAAAATGGGCTTAAGTATACTAACTTTTTTTTTTTACTAGTTTACTTACTTTTTTTTTACTAGTTTTTTTTTTTTTTCAAAATTCTTAGAAGGTATTCAGGACGTCCAATAAATACAATATTAAATTATCTCCTCCAATAGATCTCTGTGTCTAAATGATTAAATGAAGGTTTATACCGCAAAGCCATCGTTCACCACACGTTACGACACCATGACAATGTGTCTAGAGGCGGGAAGGCGTGTTCTTGTCGTCTGATTATGCATAATACGGTTCCAGTTCCACTATTCCCATTCTGAGATTTACCTTCGAAATCTGGAGTAGGTAGAAGTGTTTGCTGTCAGAAAGAATGCGTGGCGGCTCGCCAAAATGGATCGTTGGGCATTGTTGAAACCGTTCGTCCTGATCGATTTGTCTTTGTGACATAGCCTCTAACGCGCGATTGATTAGGCGAACGCCTATAAGTGAAATGTATCGAAATACTGCGCTAATTCGGTAGATGATACAGCGCGGGTCCGACGTAACTCTGCAGGCGGAAAGAAGCGCGCCCCAATCATCACAGTGACTAGTAGTCATGAACTCAAACAAGTGTCGTCACTGATTTGGGGCTTATTATCTTCCAAATGATCTAATAATATCGATAGGGCCTATTGATCAGCACGAATCATTTAGGCACAGGTTTGCCTATTGCATGTTTTGGCCTATAGACAAACGAAGAAAAAACTCATCCCTAGGAACGTCAAGAACTCTGGCCGCCTCAGTAATATTCAAATATAGTTAATACGTTAGTGATAATAATTAATAAAATGATGGTAAAAATCCTGGCCTGTTTGGATTCCGTTCGATTTCCTCGTTATTCAGTCATTATATAGGTAACGCCAATTAAAAAAAAGTATTTTTCCTACGTCAGTCCGCAAAGTCACATGCTGTTTTTTTAAGCATGAAAAGCTAAGGAGGAGTAGAAACAAAAGGCCCAATTTGCCATTTCCGGGTGACACGTTTAACTAACTGAATTAGAGCGGAACCTGCGCAACTGCGGAATCTTAGAGATGGACATCTTTGATTAATTATTATTAGAAAACAGCCCAGAAAATACACTCGGTCAAGTACATGTTGCATTCTAGATATAAATGAGATAAATAAAAATACAGAAATTATCCTAATGAAAAATACTACACAATTTATACAAACGCTAGGTGTGTGTGTGTGTGTGTCATACATAAAAACTCACAAGTTAAAGCTGCGAATTAGACTTTCTATTTCTTCTACCGTACGTTTCACATCTGTAGTGATGCTGTTGGCGGTGTGTATTTTCAAGCAAGATTCTTGGTATCAGCTTGTTTTTTCTAAAATCTCAATCCATTACGGGGTGCGAAACGATTCTGATTTAAAAAAAATATCACACAAATCAGCCTTATTCATACTATTTCATACTTTGTACAAACGTAGTGATGTTAGCGCATACGCAGACTGATAATCCACAAGATGGCTTTTTACGGCGACAACTTATTTTTTCAGTTAGCATTGTCGTATTGAGGCCAAATCTAACAAATACAAGTTACACGCATATTATAGACGTATCAATATAAGTTTGAGCCTTAGTCACACTTGATGTTGGCGTCATCATCTAACTACCAATTATATCAGGCTCAGAGGAACCCTCACCGGAGGGTTTCTGATGACTGAATATGGTCGAGTCACACTTCGGTAATTAGCTCGGCAGAAAGCCGATGCTACTACTCTGGGGAGCGGGATGATCTTGATATAACAATATGATCAGAAATAACAGAGAGGCTGCAGAGATGGATCAGTTAGTGTACTAGGCAGATATTTTATGAATCACCTTGTTTTTATTGTCGGCAACGATGAGCATACTTATTATTGGTAAGTTACATTTCGGTTCAAGCTTAGCTCGCAACCTCATACTGATCTGTATGGCCTGCAATTGCACTATTTAATTTCACCTACGCAATAGGACGCCAAGATTTTTTCCAATGATTTACTGATTTGTACATGGTAAAAGCCATTGTATAGACTGAAGATCTGTTTCTAGCAAAATATGTCACATGTATAACAATATGTCTTCTTTCTGAGCTGATTTTCCTAGAATCGATTTTTCCTAAGTTTTCGGGACCAACAATTTTCAGAGTCAATTTGTATCTTAGACGTTAACAAAATAATGCTTCAATACTAGTGCAGCTATTGTCCTACTAGCTCCGATCAATAAAACAGGCCTATTTTCAGCAATAATTTTTGAGTGTATGAAACAAAGTGTTTAAAGTATCCTGAGGATAGTCGAATACAGGACATTGTTATTTTTTTATATTTGCAACGCAGCCTTTGGTGCACCTTATCTATCGCTTTTATTTTTTTTCTTACTATAAAGATGAATATTAAATCAAGCAAACAATGAAACGTTCGTCGAGACCGAGAATCCTAGAGGATTTTCCGTATCATCGAAGCGCCATTGTGCGGATCGCTAGTCAATGACCAACCAGCGCCCGCTGTAACGGTGAAATATTTACAGCTTTTGGCCGAACTTGTGTTTATCCTTGGCTGATTTGCTTCTGTTTTTCAAAGTGAAGGATGAGTCAATGGCGGGTGATGGCACTGCATGTATACTGCTCGGCAAACCAGTCGACTCCATTGTCATTTAATTCTGCTAACTGCCGACATTTTGCCTGCGACCTGGTAAGGTCTCTGGTTTATCGCTATCGTATCAAAAGGCTTGCCCGCGCCCGATGGTAAAGCAACGAAAAAAGCGAAAGCCTCGGAGTGGATAGACATGTCGCTTATTGGACGTCCTTTGATCACTATCCGGCAACTGATCAGCTGAGCAGCCCAATCAGACAGCGGGCGAACGAGATTATTCCCATGAACAACGTCATCAGGATCATCAAGAAGGAAAGTGCTCATGCTGACTGTTAGACCCACTTACCCTTCTTAGAAGCTATGAAAATCTGTCATACGAGAGCTGTCTTAGGTCTGGCCCTGCTCCCGCGCCACGTAAATCGACACACACGTACATATAATAGGTGTATTGGAAAAACCTTTGCACACCTGTTTGCCAGCGACCCTGATCCAACAAGGCGGCCGCTAACACTTAAAGGAAAGACGACAAAACCTCGCGGCTTCTACTTCAGTCAAGCTGTAGTAAGAGCCAATGAGTCAGAACGAAAAGACACTAACCAATTTCGTCGCGTTCGGCCCTGTTCTTCTTTCTTTGCTTAAGCCTGGGTAGATCCGCCGGTAAACAGTTGCTAGCTGTGGATGTCTCCTTTTCAATTTACGTGGACAAGACAAAAAACAGAGAAGTTCCCAGCCCTTCTTCTATGGCGATGAACGCAATGTTGAAAGTAAATCAGCTTTCTCAGAATTCTAGAGCACGCTTTTCATACACGCCTATCATGCATATGGGTGTAATGTCCGTGATGGAATCTGATACACCACAACAATTAGTTAATCATCCTTAAAGTAGCGCTTTTTTTGAAAACTTGATTTAGGACCGATGAGGACCAACAACTGGGCCTTCCAGTAATCCAGAACGCTGTAATCCAGCGTTCACTCTATACCCAACACATTTTAAGCTGCGAAAACAAATGCAACTTAGTATTATATGGGTAATGTGTGTCATCGTACATCTTAACGTTCGCGCTAAATATATGCTGAGAATAATTAACAAAAAAATGCCCAGTGATACCATATGTCACAAAAACAACAATTCGGCAAAATAGAAAACACTTGAATTTTCCCTTCTGAATAACTGTGATTACTAACGTACGAATCGAGGTAGCGATTAATTTCGACCTATACCAGCTGGCAACAAATATGGATTATTTCAACCGGTGCCACCGTTTAAATCATTCGCCTATCAATGCTGTTTCATAAACGTCCCCGTATTACTCGATACGTACGTAGGTATGACATGCAGTGAAGACTCTTGGATTTTTTTCTCAGTCCTCTTTGTCTATAGTTCCCTTGCCTCAGAATTAACTACGACTACAAAACGAATGTGTATTTACTTCTCGCATCAGAGATGGATATCCGCCCGCTGTCAGACCAGATCAGTTGACGCCGGCCGTAGCGGTTATACGCACAACAGAGCGTGACATCACATTCACAGTTGATGGCTGTGTGTAAGGGGCTTCGGTCAAAGGGAGGTTAGAATATAATCAAACTACGGTGGCGGAGCGGAGCGAACTGGGCTACCAATGCTTTTGACGCAGAAACTACATCGTTCATACAACGAAGACAGGAAGATATCAAACGATGTTTTCGAAAATTTATTTTTCAGTAATTACAGCCGGGGCTATGCAGAGTCCCACACTCAATACGCATTCTACATAGCCCATGGCTAACCATTTCTGGCAAGGCAAGACGAAACGCCGTCACTACTGATGCCGATATAAAACGCTACCTTACGTATGTTTGGTGAAGGTGACATTGCACGTAAAGACCTTTTTAGAAATTTTCTGAACCCAATTCGCTCGACGAACGAGGTGTTAGGTAAAAAAAAAGAACACTTTTTTCCCTTACAGGCAGAATTTAGTATCATGTACATGCATAGAGTAGGAATGAGTCGCATTCAAGCGCGCACCGTCGGAGCGGGAGATCGTCCGGCACAGACTAACGACGATTAGTTAACATTGTTATAGAGTATTATCAAAAAAAACTGACAAGATAGTCTAAATTAAACAAAGATAACGGTTTTCCTATGCAGCTTAAAGCAAGCTTACAAGTCCTGTCCGATGGATTTTCTGCATAGTGACGGAAACTGAATATGTAAATGGGGGGGTACTAGGATTGTTTCTATATGTATCAACAACAGAACTATCAAGACCGAACGTAAGAAGCCTAACGCTGAAGAACGAAGCATTCCTATTAGCAAATATAAATAAAATAAATTAATAAGCGTCTTTATTTTAATTTGCGTAGCAACGTTCCGTTGACCGCCATTGTTCGATAAAGTAACTGAACATTCACAATTTAGGTAGCAAATTGTGACTTCAGAAGTCGCTAGTCAGGTATAAGGCGTTTACCGATGTTTGTCACTCGTTGCATTCAGTCCGTAGGTCCTTTTTTGTTGCTACGGTAGATCGGTCTACTCGGTCAAAGGAACTCACAGGTCAGGTGACAGTTCCTCAAAGTAAAGCCTCAAACCACTCAGCATTCTACATTAGGTATTGTATACGAAAAAAACGTGCCACTTTGATAAAGTAGCCTCTTAACAACAATAACAAAACTAATCGCATGGAACGCTGCGGTCGATCCCATTTGAATCTATTCGCACGCACACACAGATTCGAAAATTAGAATAATCATCGTCAGGGCATCCCTGATTCACATATAAACATCCCCCAGGCCAGCAATCACTTTGAGAGATGAAGCTTAAAAACGAAATAACGAGCGAACAATAACATTTTTCGTTTGGGCTGACCGATTTACCGCTTCATCTAGTGGCTTGACCCGATTTGCACCGAGGTTTGATAATTGTTTTGTGAACAATTCTCGCCCCAGGACCTACTCCAACGGCGGCACATGGCGAACAGAGAAGGACCCCGCAACCCACTTCTACGCATCGAATTCTGCCGAAGAACGGGAACGAGCAGGACCATGTCTGGGCACGAACGTCGCCGCAGGGACATCTTCGAGCGACACACTTATATTCATCAAGGTAACGGAACAGAAACCATATCAAAGCACAATAATGCGGGGCCGCCCGCACCGGGTAGCCCCTTGGTGAAGGCGCATCAGCTGGAGGGAGCAGTCGTCTCGGGGGAGCGTCATTTGCGCAGAGAGTGAAGTTGTGAAATAGTTCGACCCGAACCTGTCACGAATCGAGCGCCGCGATTTCGATTGGGTGGCGATTTTTGGGTTGTTATTTCGTGCCGCCACCAAGTGATACAAACAATAATAGAAGAGCCTGATACATTGCTGGTATCGGCATGGAAAAGATTTTGACAATAGCAATTATTATTATTAGTTGAGAAACTAAAAAGCTTGACTTGTACATCTATAGTAGCGATCTGTATAAATACGCAACCAGTCGAAGGGCAGAGAGGAACTTTTTAACCAAATCCTATCCTCAAAAAAGACTAAAGAAAACAATATTAGAAGCGTCTTGTGCGATTAGAGGTTAAAACTCAACTGCCCAAGACCGATGCCTGACTGTTACTGTCTATATCTAATAATGAACTATTTGTCTGCCCCACGTTCAACATACTTGTTTAGTAGCTCTTGTGTTTCTTTTTATAAACGTAAAAATGCTATAGGACCGAAGCCTCTTCTCACATTACGCAAGAGACCCTTTTCGACAAACTTCTCAACCTACCGATCTATAATACTTTCCTAATAATGCTCGCTGAGAACTGAATAGATATGGGGAACTCATCGATTTTGAACTCGGCAAAATTACTCTCTATTAGTACTAATTGTTCCCAACAAGCGACAGAACTTATGACCCTGACTACCCAGAACACGATCATCTGGAAAGATTATGGCAGACTTTCCAGCTGATAAAAGGCTCCCTTCGCTATAAAGGACCACCCCTGAGAGGCTGCCATAATGGACCAGTAATCTGCTTAAGCCATCTTGCCAAATCCTTTCGGCACGTATTATGTGACATTACAATTCCAGTCCGCATGGAGTAGACTTCTTTTATTTACAGCTATATAATAAGTTGCCCAAAAGAAATATCCCGATCCCCGTAAGAGCTTTCAACTTTTAAAGGCAAACAAAGAAACTCACCCAAGCCCTGTATGCATTCAAATATACCATCGATAGGTTGATTGACAAAGAAATAATTCACAACTGATCGATATATGAACCACTTATAAACACACACAATAAATAAATATACAGCGTACTTGAAAAGTTAATTTCGTGACCGAAATATTCCATGGCGGGAAGTTCAATTTCGACGACTCTCGTTAGGCTTAACGCCGGCAGGTTGAATATTATCACTCGGACGCCGTACGAACAACTAACCACTCTGATCGACTACTCGATCTATGTAAAGACCACATGACAATAAAGATGGTCAATAAAATTTTCACTAGTTGGATCCTAATTTAGCTTCATCAACTGATTCAGACGGGTGAATCGAGCCTGGTCTATTAGTCTCATTCAAGTGTCGTTCAGTATTAGCGTTCATCGATACAATCGTCTGCGATTAACAACTATCCAACGACTCTCAGCTATCTCCATAGAGGCCATGACTTGAAACTAACCCTTACTGGCGGATTCTTCCATCAGTAGTGGATTGCGTCGTATCTGAGTGTAGTTACGCGACTGATCGATGATGAACGACCAAAATTTCTGATGAAACCACACAAGACTGACGCTTACTACAATCACGCTACCCGATCGTATCGGCAATTCAGAGGAGGGATAAAGTTACAATGAGATCCCTCATAACGATACAGGATGCCTGCTAAGACGTCCTATAATTAGCTTTGTGCACAACGAAAGGACATCTATACATACTAGTAGACTAGAGCATTGCTCGACCTTTACTGGAAGAACTATATCAGGCATTATTGTAAACCCGCTATTAATTGACCGTATATCTGACCCTGGACCTAGTAATAGAAACATGTTTTGCAGGAACATGTTGTAAGGAAGTGGACACAGATGCAATGTAGATTGAAAGCTGAAGTGGAAAACGAAGCAGTGTGAAGGAAACTGCCAGAAATCACATATATACTGTATGTCAGAGAAAATTAAGTGCACAGGAGCTCGAACGAGCCGCACCTACGTGTTTCACATTATTTTCAATATTATTATTTGCTGGCCAACAGTTTCACTAGTTTATTGATTATTTATTTAGCCATGTAGTACATATCCATGGACGGCTCACCCCGGGGTTCTTCTACCGGAGATATACCTGTTTTTATTAACCTGAATTGTTTGATTCGGTTTTCCTGTATGAATACAAAAGCCGACAAAGAGGCCCTTCGACGCGATTTAAAACGTACCGTGCGCTATATTTATAAAGGAAAAACATACACATAATACGATTTCCATACCTAAGCGACCTAGTAATGTCGTTGACCTTTTTACAGGCCGCCAGACTCAGCGAAGAATAATAATCGACTAGAATCATTTTGTCGCGATCGAGTGCGCTGAGTAATGTCGTTGATGACAGAATCGAGAGCAGCTATAGAGCCGTATCCGCCGTGTCCACACATGTACAAGGAAAGACGGCAAGCATCTATCGGATACGTCTTTCGACTCATGGCGTCGATTTCGCTGAGTTATCGTTCTATGCCGAAGTAGCAGATCTCGCTCTTCAGGCACTCACTCCAAGCTATGAATGAAGCTGCCCTGCGCTTCATGTTCCCCGTTCAGATACGAGTATATCTAAGGAATATCACTCAACGCCAATAAACAGGCTTTTCAACGATTCAATTGATGATGATCCTAATTCCCCGCTCTTTAGGCCGTCTTAACCAGACCTAAGCATCTTTTTGCGTTTTATGGTAGCAAGGTCGTTAGCAAGCTAGCTTGTCAGCAAGGCCTCCTCTAACGACTATCTTTCTTGGAACCCTTTCCCGCTATGGCATGTTCAACAGAGGTATCTGTGCATACCTATAAAAGAAATGTAAACCCGACCAGTACTGTATATCAACGTGATCTTGAGGGCAACAAAAGTTATGTAAGTTCTATTTGCTTGTATCCATAAGCTAAATAAAAGTTTCACGAAGAACACAGATATGTTTTCCCCGAGTGGTTTATTTTTAATTCTAACCATTCCCTTATATTGTATTGCAATATTGACTTTATAACAGCATCAAATTAAGGGCCTTTCGACGATTCTTGATATATATTACGCGTCGCTTAGGATTTCGACCGATATTTAGAAACAGCAAAAAAAAAGCCATCTAAAAGTTTCTGCGGTCTGTGTTTCGCGATTTGTCGGGTCTGTTCTCGAGCTTCGTAGGGGGGGGCTTCGCATACAACAAGAATGTTTTGCCAGCCAAGGCGTTCTCCTATGGATATAAATTATGACGTAGTTATGGCGCAGGGATGCTAAACTATTACTGGAGTATTATATAAATAGCACTAAGTGGTTAGCATATATGAAAAAAGCTTAAATTATTTGCATATGGTAAACTGAAAGAAAGAGATCCCTTTCAGTTGTAATCATGGTGCCATTAAAGACTCTGTTGTCATACTGTTACATTAATCACTTTGTTCAAAGGGCTCGGGGCAAATTTATCAGCAAGCACCTGGCCATCAAAACACGGAATGCGTTTTTCTGGGATTCTATTTCGAATAAGCTTTAACATATCAGTATCAAAGAGGAGACAGACTCCTGTTCTACATAGACGCTTTCAGATGTTCATCGGCGGCAGTACGGAAAACAGCCTTGTTACGATAAGGTTCGTGTAGATATTGCATTGAATTATTAGTTTACATTATCACACGTTAGCCTATAACTCTTATTGAAAAACTTCGCTAAAGAGCAGCGTGGGAAACTGCCTTTGGCTACTCAAAGAGCATAAAGTAATGTATTTTTCACGCATTATCCAAAAGTATCGCGGCCAGCACCCTGATTCAGCACATCAATCGACCATTACCCCTCTGCTAAAAAGTTCCTAGAGGGCTTTAGCCCCTGAAAAGGGCTATCGTTTTCGATTGCTGACTCCCCAACATCAGCGATATATGGCATACACAGGTTTACACGTCCGTTCTGATACAGTCACAGAACCGCCTGGCCTTTCGTAGTCTTTTCCAAATCCTTGACACGATATCCGCCTTTCCGTATTCGAATAGATGTTTTTTCTCCCCTTATGATGTGTGGCGATAAAAATAGAATCTTAGCGCCTACTCTTCGTGCTGTTCCTGTTTTTGGTTGGAAACTCTGCTGTCACGGATGACTATACCGAGAACGAGTCGAACAAGACAGGCTGAGCAGTTCTGAGATAAATGTTCCTTGTCTCGTTCAACAACTCCAGAAGCATTGGACCAGCACCGAGTAAATGAAGGAAGACTCTATTTAATACGACATTGAGATGGAAAAGTTACTCAGTGGGTAGACTAGCATGCCCACTCGACGGTAACCGTGTAATTATGGTGTTGCATGTTAAATAAACGTGCATATGTGCACACTATGATGTTCGAACGTAGCAAATGATCGACCTAGAGTTTCATGTTGTTTTGAGCACGACACGTGCACGAATCAAGTATACAGTTAAGGCTTACAACAAAGATACTGTACGTAAGTTAAACTTTAAAGAGTGTCTGTCTATTTAATGGTTTGAATTCGCTCGCGGAAATGTTCGCAAACTTCTAGCCTGTAACGTCGTCGCATCTTAGATTTCCCTTGCTTTATAGTACTATGCACGATTCATTTCAATGACGGTAGCACGAGCTATGAGGCTAGTATTCACCCCCTTAGTTTGCCCTTCAAGGGCCAACCCACTTGGATGCTCTGTAGACCGCCCATTACCCGTTACATTATGGGTGGTTTCGAATCAACTACACAACGACCAGAATTCAAAATGTGCGCCAAGAAAGCCTAATACCACTAGTCATAGGATACGCCAAATTGAAAGAACCGCATTTTAAGGCCGGTTAGTTCTGCTAGATGCTTCGACGACGGCAAATCGACTTCTCAACGCCCACAATTAGATGTAATCCCTTCGCTAGTCGTTTCGTGCCTGTCTGTCGCCCATTGTCCGGCTATATTAGATAAATCAAATTTATCGATAACATAGCCCACAAACATCCCACGGTGCTTATGTCGATAATTATACGCTAGTTGTTCAAAACAATAATCATACCATTTACCTACGATAAACTACCTACTATTAATTAATAATTCCATAACTTTCGATATCTAACTTAGCTAAGTTAGTAAGCTGTCTCCCTAAGCTAAACATCTGACGCCACACATATTTTGCCCGGATGCTATCGATGCCTACATCCGTTACGTATAATAGTAAACAACTCAAATACAGCACATGCCCATGTTATCACGTTAGTTTAAATAAAGGTCAGGTTGTAGTTAGTGGTGGGTTACAACTCCCTGAAAAATCTCGACTGCTTTGTCGGGGCTCAGCTGGCGTGCGCGCTTCGTTTAAGCGTCGCACCACTTCATCGTCGTAATTCAATTAGTCGACGACGAAGGCGCGGGCCAACTTCACTCCTGTTCTGCATGTTGTGCGTATCGCGGCCTCAACAGCCATCCTTTTAGTAATTGCTACGGCCAATGCTTGCACTCAGAGCCTTTAAACTCTTCACCTTAACCACCCAGCCCGACTGCATGCAAAATGCCCCTGCGCAGACCTACTATAACAGCAACTGCTGGCACTAAGTCTGCCCTGGTTATTCGGCAGCGAGCTGATCTATTTTTGCAACATTGTATTTATTTGACGGTACGAGTAGTTCCGACATAGTTGATCTATGAGCGCGCTTTATATTCGAATTTATGCCATCCAGCTGTAACGAACGGCGACAGAAAAAACAGACACCATATAGTGAATGATACATATTCACTGGATGACTGTATCGTAATCAATGTCGGATAAACGAGACACTACAAATCAACTATGCTAAAATTGCAGGAACTTTAATAAACTTTTTACGTTCTTTATATATATACACGTTTATTGTGTGTTCGTATGGACAGTGGTTTCCGACGGGTGTACTCGTCAAATTGAGGTAATCCGTATCAACATTTGTCGGAATGTATACAGTAATCTAACGGTACTATGCTTCCAACGGTGCTGGTCGAGATAAGGTATCGCAGGTCTATTCTGTCTAGGCCTGCAGGACATAGAGGTCTACACTGTTGCAGCATCACACTTTTCTCTAACCGGCCCCGTACTTTATTTGGTCGTATGCTCGAACAAACTCTTCCACTAACCTCGAACCTATCGACATACTTTAATCAACGAATATCTGTATCATATCAATTATAGCTGTGCTAATACGATATCAGATATCGTTTGCTGCCTTTAAGTAACGCTATATTGTCATATCCGACTCCCAACGATTCAGCTCCTGCCAAGCAAGGATACCTCGTATCTGCTTGGATCAATTTTTACCGACATGGAGAACGGAACCTCCTTTTTAAATTATTGTTTCAATATTTAGTCCACACTTTCCATTGCTTTATATGAAACAGCGTACAACGTACCATGGTCGTGTTCGAGTGTGCCCCTATCAACACAACATTGAGCAGGCGATAACATTGCCCTTTTTGCGCAAAATGAGGATAGAGTTAACTGGACTTTTCATGCAATTAGCCTGTCGGTGTTATTATAGATATCTATCTAAATTATACACCCTAACCAAAGCCATACAAGAGGCTAAAAGGTTTAAGGCTGTTTGTTAGCTCTGGACACTGGCTCAGATCGCATGGCTGCTATCTCTTCGGATTACAGTCGCTTTTTAGACAAATTATTATACTTAAAGCTGAATTTGTATGCATAGAATTAGCGTGAGTTAATTAATAAATGAGTTTTCGAAATCACCGATTTGATACACGTACGTACACACACATACACTGATGATAGGTCGGGAGTGGGGGGAGCCGCTGCGTCACCACTCCTAAATTAAATGCCGCATGTAGCCTAAGTGAAAAGTCATCAAAACCATCTACCTTTTTTTGCCTGTAATTATTACTAGAGTCGCCTGCTCTGACATCGGACTGCTGTACTCGAGTTCGGACCCTCAATTACTTACGCCTACCGCTTATTACAGGACATTCATCTTAATAGTGCGAACAAAATTGGCGAAGGTTTTAGATCTTAGGTTGGCAAAGCAACCGGAGGTAAGACGGTCAATTTTTTCTACTATGGCATTAAACTGCGTATTTAGTATGCTAATTATAATATGTAGATAATATTTGTGACTGCTGACAGCCAGCCGATAAGTTGCATACTAATACTTCAACGCTGCCTGCATAGGTAAAGCTCCGAAGTGAATCACCTCACAGAATACATGTCCGAAAAATCGCCTCAGACGAGGCCTAAGACGTTTTTTCATCGGTACCCACTACACCAATCACTCGAGGCGGAAAAAGTTAAAATTGAGTTGGTCTTTAATCCAGTTCAATGCAACCAATTCGGTATATGTAAATTTTTCCCATTTAGCTGCACCGCGCATGGGATGTTTCCCTTGACGAATAGAACACCTACGCATTTCTACTACTACTCAGCCTACTACTCAGGCTACCTCTCAGGCGCACCTACTACTCAGCTACAGCTAAAGACGTCGTATTGTATAACCATATCTGCCTATATTCTTTTTATTTATTTTATCTTGCTTTGAACTGTTGATATGGATGTATTGGTGTAAATTCCATCTTATTTGCTCGGTCGACTCCGCCTCCTTTACGCGACAAGGTCAGACGGAGGAACCAACTGGCTGCCGCCATTATTCATCGACAACTGAACGGGGCCAGGAAAGCTTAGAGATCTGCCGTTTTCTTCGTCGGATACTTCGATACGTCGCTTGTCGCTCCAAAGCTTCCGCCCTACCGAGCTGCTGTGCTTCGTACCCGGCTGACGTTTAGCTTGGTCCCATAGTCGGTAGATAGACAGGGACGCTGTTCTGACCGATGTAGCAGCGACAGCCGGCGGCCATCGACGCCGATCTTCAGTCGTCAAAGAGTAGCTTGGTACCAGAGCTGCGATTAAGAAAGACACCAGGGCGGCCACTGGCGATTTGACGGCGGAAAAGGAGATTTTACTCCGTCGATGCTGCCTATGAGGAGACCAGACGAAGGCGAGCAAAGCTAAGCAGAAACAACACCTGCCGAACGAGGTTATGAGGTCATCGGCGATACCAATATCGGCAGAAGAGCTGCTGCAGTGGAAGCAGACAGCTCCAGACAACGGCCACAGTAAAAAAATTGCAGGGACAACACCCCTAGCGTCCATACGCGGACAACGCCGCCGGTAAAATAAACAGGAACTAACAATAACCTAAGATAT